ATATATATATATATATATATATATATATGTATATATATATTATATATATATGTATGTATGTATGTATGTGTGTGTATACATATATTTACCATATATATATATATATATAATATATATATATATATATATATATATATATATAAATGCACATACATACATGTATATACACATATATGTATATATATATATATATATATATATATATATATATATATAAATATATATACATATATACATATGCATACATGCATACACACTTATATATATATCTGTGTCTGTGTGTGTGCATGTGTGTATGTATATGTCCTCGTTTGCTGGTGCTTTCAGTGATTCTGGAAGCAATCTCTGTCGCTAATTAGAAAATACTCGCCATGCGTACCGTTAATAAAGCTTATACGATGGAGAAAAATCAACAGGAAATATTCCACGACACTCTCTACCTGATAAAAAAAAAATCCATCAATCCGTGATTTATCCTTACATTTCTTTTCCTCTCCACAGTTCGCCCTTCACCTCACGCCCGCCCACAAAGAGGCAGGAGAGAAGTCACGAGAGCCCCGAATCCAAGCCACGCGCCCACTGCAAGGAGACCGCCCGCGCCCTGCTAAGCGCTACCGTTAGTATAGAGCCCCTGTTTTCGGCGTTTCCCTTTGGCTTTGCTTAGTGGTTTGATGTTTATGGATTTGTATATTCCAAGAACTATATATTGCTTTTGGTGTAAAAATGTGACTCTCATTGATAACATTTGATTATATTTGCATACAGCCATTAAGAAAAAGCACACACACTCATTCGCTCGGTGTGTGTGTGTGTGTGTGTATATATATATATATATATATATATATATATTATATATATATATATATATATATATATATATATGTATATGTATGTGTGTGTGTGTGTGGTGTGTGTGTGTGTGTGTGTGTGTATTTATATTATTTATATATATATATATTTATATATAATATATATATATATATATATATATATATATATATACATATGTGTGTGTGTGTGTGTGTGTTTTTTTCTGAATGCTGTGTGCAAATATAAGCATATAATATGTGTGTGTGTGTGTGTGTGTGTGTGTGTGTGTGTGTGTGTGTGTGTGTGTGTGTGTGTGTGTGTGTGTTATTAGAATTTTTAATGTAATTCACCCGCAAAATTATTGCACAACGAATACACGAAGGAAAAGCTTAGATATCCAATAATACATGTTAATGTAACCTCGTTTTTTGAGAGAAACTGCAAAGATACTGCAAAAAAAAATACAATAATGGTTTTATATTGAGTAGAGGCAGAGAGATGAATCTGCTAAGGCTGTATATTAAGAAACCAAGGGAGATTATTCTCCAAATTTCACTAAATGTTTCTTGTTGCAGTTGGTATTGAACTGCCCGACTACATCGCCACGAAGCATACCTCGCTCAGGGCTACCAACTCTCACTACCTCGCCAGGATCAACCAGCTCAAACAACGCATGCGCCACGTGGGGAAATAAACAGCTGTAGAGTGGGGCGTAAACACTTGTTTCCCTTGTTTGGTAGTTTTGTTTGGGTTGTAGCCTTCGTTTTTTTGTTTGTTTTTTGGTGCGGGAAGCATCTGTTATGCCAAGTATCCGGTTATCGTGTATTGATGTTGGTAAGGCCGAAAGGGAGTAGATTTACGTATTCAAAACATGTGCAGTTAAGAGCCTGAGCACAGGGATGTCCTCGTAGGCTTGTTGTATTAGAGAGTATGAAAGGATGAGATACTTTTAAGATACGAAGCCATGTGTGACTGATATTATATAAATGATGTGTGAAATGACATTAGCAAACCAAGTGCACATTTTAAAGGTTTCCTTCTATCAAACTTCTGAATCGTTATAATGAAACGAAATCTTGTAAAACAGTGGGTTCTAGATCTGATCATCATTCCCGTAAAACTAATCATATAAAATATTTTAAATGTAAAACTAAGACAGGCGTAAAAGAATGCAAAGGAAAAAAATACCAAGATAGTGAGTCCTTTTAATCAATTTCTTGGTATTTCCCCTTGTGCTAAAAATAAGCATGAATTCACCATACACTGATGCAGCTTGCCACACTCAAATGCATCCTGTCACATATTTTCTCAATCATTTTTGTACAAATTACGTTTTCCTTTCATTCTTTCTGTTCCAATGAAGACTTCTCCCAGCAATGGATGTTGTGAAAACCTAAACGAACTAGGTCATCCGGTATAGCTGGGGCTGGCAGACCTCGTGGCCTATTTTCGTTTAGAGTTGCAATGCTTATTTTAGTTTTTTAAGGTGTTGAGATCTTGAAAGTAATTTATATCCATTTTAATTTGATTATTGTAAAAGTCCTTCAACGTAAAATCCGTTTATGAGGTTAAGAAATCGGATATAATTCGAACAAATTTCCTCCTTTCGTTCAGTAACAACAGGTAGTCTGCCATACCATCAAGGCAGATTTGCATCCTTCCCAGCTGAAGATAAGAGCGAGAATGAAGA